TTTTTTTTTTTTTCAAAAGCTCGTCTTTTCGTTAAAAGATTATTATCAAATTAAGACCGTTTTGATCGATTAAATCGTCGTTTATAAAAGTCGGTCTTTTTACGAAAAGATCGTTTTAAGATCGTCCTGTAGCCGTCCCATGGCCGTCCTCGAACTCAAAACCGTCCCGAGGAACGTGAATTAGTAAGCAAATAATCTCTTCATCCATTCAATTACTTGCCAGTCTACCTTAAAGGGTGGTAGGGGGTCATTTGAATGGTCCTCTGATCCTCTTTTATAAGAAACGGCCATTGGGCCGCTTAAATTCAATACTAAGCTCTTTTTAAAAATAGTTTATCGAAAAGACCGTCCTATTGAAAGAGACCGTTTTATGGCCGTCCCATAGCCGTCCCTATCTATATTTTTAAAATAGGCTCATTAATAAGCTCGTTTTAAAAAATTGAAATAGTTCGATGACCATTTTAAAGAAGATATAAATATAAACAAAAATTGTCTTTTAAATAAAATTGTTTTGATGATAATTTAAGAGGTTCGATGCCAAGATATTTCTCGGTATCGCTGCCACGGCTTGTATATCAACGCTTTAATTTTTTTATAATCGAAATCGATCGATTTAGCAAAAGATTCGCCGCGTATGCTGGACGCCCTTAGATCCCTTTTAAGGAGGGGGTGTAGTAGGTGGTCCAGGCAGTAAAGGGTAGACTAGCAAGCAATAGAAAGATTATTTGCTTACTAATTCACGCTCTCAAGGACGGTTTTAAGCTTAAGGACGGCCATAGGACGGCCATAGGACGGTCTTAAAACGCTTGAAAACGGTCCTAAGACGGTTATTGTTGTTGTATTTATTAACGTCGGGCGGGTATCCAAAACGCAATGCTTGGACAGGTCCTAAGACGGTTTTTATACGAGAAGACGAGTATTTCAAAAAGACGATTTAATCGAATAAAATAGTTTTATTTTAGCTACGATTTAAATCATTTAAATCGTTTGTTTTCAAATTCTATTCAATCTCGAGTATCGGCCTAAGGTGATCCACCAGCCATGCCAACTTATTAAAATCGTCCTTAAAAGAGATAGTTATCGGATGATCAGCTGACCGTCTAAATGCTCTTGCATTCCCCTTTAAGGTAGTTATCGAACTATTTTAAATTTTTAAAACGAGCTTATTAATAAGTCTAATTCAAAAATATGGACGAGGACGGCCATGGGATGGCTATAAGACGGTCCCAGGCTCGGGGACGATTAAAAAAGTGAATTAATGTTGATTTGTAACTAATACTGATTTTAAATTGTCTAATAACCGTCTTTTATAAAAGAGGGTCAAAGGACCGCTCAAATGACACCCTACCTGCCTTTAAGGTAAGCCAATCAATCAACTTATAAGAATCCAGCCTTGAAAAGTATCTTTAGGTCAGTATTTGGTCCGTGCAATGGATTTGGCGGGGCTAAGCCCGTGCCTCAATTGGCCGTTTATTACTCCGCCGGAGAGGGAAGGTACGATGGGTTACGATAATTACTGCTTCCGATACTGCTTAACTACGCGTATATGTCAGAATTGCCATGTAAATACTAGAATAAGCGAGGAACACGAAAATCGAACTTCCTTTAAAAGTAAATCTTTTACACCACCAACTCTCGTTTAATGATATACATAATTTTGGAAAATTTAATGGAAGCGATACTTCCTATTGATCTATGGTTCGGGGCGTGGGGGGTGGGCTCTGTTTTATTAGAGCTGTGGTTGTCAAGATATTCGAAACAGACAAATGAAATTTGACTTTTCAGAACAGTCTTTGGCCATATTTTCATTATATCGCAATGTTTTTACTTGCAATACATAAATGCATCTCAAAACTTATAATGCATATTTGCATAGTGTTGTTTTATAAGCATATCGATCTTTTCATCTAATGGTCGTAGTTTGACTAGTGTTTTGATGAAAGTGTCCCGGTTTAATGGTGCCGACCTGGTGCAGCTAGGTCGGGGTTTTTTTTTTACAACAATACTCAAGGCAACCAACGATTAGATCTTACAGATACAGCTTGATACAACTGCAAGTAATTGAGGTGCCGAGGGGGTACTGGCCCCTAGCATTAGCCAAGTAAGTAGTACTGCACTGCACTGTACGTAACGGTACGGAGCTTCTTCAGGCGCCGGCAAACGCGTCGAGCTTGGACCACTTCAAATTGGGGCGCTTGTTTTCACTCACTTGCGACAAAGCTCCCAGGCATCACGTCGAACCCCTCACGGCAACAACCACAACCTCGCTATCCCAGAAATTTTGCGACTTATCGCTGATCTCATTCGCTTGCATATTCGCCTATCCACTTAGGAAGCCCATAGGGAAAATATATCCATCCCTGGGACGCGCGCGACCTCCGGCGCGTCGTCACGGTCGAGATGCCACCAGCAGGGCGCAAAGGAACTGAGAACCAGTACTTATTCAACCTGGGCGTAAAAGGACGGCAAGTAATGATTGTTGCGCGAAATGTATCCCACTAACGCCTTGTACAGAAAAACCGGCATTGAGGTTCCCGATACTGGAATTCGAGATGAGAATGGCCTGGAACCAATGGATCACTTGTTCTCCTCCCCTGAGAAAGAGAAAGAAGCCACGGCGCGGAAAGCAAACGGTGCCCGCAACATGAACGCCACGATATCGAGCGAAGAAGATATGGATGTGGACGAGAGTAGGTTACTTCTGGGTCAATACAACGATCAATAATGACTCTACGAGTAGGCACCATCCCCGAACCCAACGATGTCCTCACCGAGAGACAACGAGCAAGTGGTCGACTGCCTCCCCTGCGTGCGAACTCCCCTATAAAGACATACTTGAAGTCCCCGGCGCGAAGGAATCAATCCCTCGGCCCGGTATCCTCCCCCATCAGGGGATCGATCGTCGAATCTAGGGCAGCTGCCAATTTAGCAGCGCCGGTCAGGAGGAAGCTGGATTTCTCGAACACTAGCTTTCAGAGTAACGGGAATACGGAGATGATCGACGGGCTGTCAGATATGCGGGCAGCTTCTGAGCTCCCGGCGAGAAACTCGAAGCTTACCAACGGCAAACTCTTGACGCCTTTCCAACCAGCCTTTTCTGATGTTGGAACCGACGAGCATGAAAAAACTGTGCTGGAAGATTCTGGGTTTGTTAATGAGGACTCCTTCCAGATGGTCAATGGCGGAGGCGATGATGCTGTGGAGGAAGAGCGGGAAGAAAGCCAGGAACCCGAGCCTACACCAGAACCTCCAACGAAATCGAAGGGTAAAGAGAAAGCTACAGAAGAAGTCTCTGCACCTGCAGAGAGGAGAGGTCGACCGAAAAAGGTCCTCCAGTCAGTCGAACTTCCGACGAAATCTAAGGGCAAAGCGAAAGCTACAGAAGAAGTCTCTGCACCTGCAGAGAAAAGAGGTAGACCAAAAAAGGCCCCTCAACCAGTCGAAGAGGAAATTTTTGGGGAACCAGAGGCTGTACGACCCGCTAAACGAGGTCGATTATCCTTGGATGATTCTAAGCCTCAAAAGAAGAAAGGAGATAGACCCCAGAAGGTAGCTGAGCCCGAGCCAGAACCAGAATCAGAGCCCGAGATCGAGGACGAAGCTCTCAAACCTCAGAGAAAGCGCGGTAGATCCCAGAAAGTTACCGAGCCAGAGCCGCAATCTGAAGTTGAGGGCGGACCAGATGAACCGGAAGAAGAGCAAGGACCAGCCAAGAGAACTCGGCGCTCGCTTGATGTTTCTGGAGCTAAAGCTGTCAAGGCTACGGGAAAACCCAAGAAGGCTACAGCCAGCGCGCCAACGAAGGAACCAAAGGGCAAGGAGAAGGCGGTGGAAGAGCCTACATCAAATACCTCAAAGTCTAAGGCAAAAGCTCCTAGTCGTAAACCTAAGCAGGCGACAGTTCCCGAGGTCGAATCTCCCGCGATTCAACGTGGTCCTCCTATGCCAAGAAATAATCGCGGACTGTTTATTCTTCGGCGAGAAACCCCATTGGAAGGTGCTGGCTTCAAGCAGACACGCTCTGGTCGCAACTCGATAAAGCCCCTTGCTTACTGGAAGAATGAAAGAGTAGAGTGGGCGGAAGATGAGGACGACGATGGTCTTCATAATTTTGTATTGCCTAGAATCAAGGAGGTTGTTCGCGCTGAAGAGATCAGCGAACCAAAACGCAAAGTTTCAAGGAGCAAGTCAAAGGCACCAAAACCAAGATCAAAGACCACAGAGCCCGAATCTGATGAGGACGAGGAAGCCGAACCGTGGGAGATGGAGCCTGGACGTATATATGGCGAGGTCAAAAGTTGGGATCCCGAGGACCCAAGTGGAGCTCAAGCTGAGGAGGTGCAAGAGGAAATCGCTTTGTCTGCTGCGGCAATCATCACCCGCGACATTCCGAGTTCCGGCTTCAAATTCGCGAAGACACTTACGCTACCCTTCTTTGGGTCTGGAATGGTTGATCTACCGCCGAAGGCCATGAAGAAGTCAAAGAATTCTAGGAAGATGCAGATGGTGTTCTTCGTCTTCTCGGGGAGAGTTCAGGTTACTGTCAATGATAACATCTTCAGTATTGGAAAGGGTGGGATGTGGCAAGTTCCCAGAGGTAAGTCTCGGATTTGACATGAGCGCGTTCTGTATACTTGTTGACTTTCTCAGGCAACTTTTACAGTATTGAGAACGAGCATGATAAACCAGCTAGAATATTCTTTTCGCAAGGGTGCGAGATTACAGACGATGCTGGGGCTGGAGAGAGCCAGTGATTGAAAGGTTACTTTTCGATGTTGTGTATCATTTGTTTTGGGCATAGGCTGCAGCAGCATTGGAGGGAATGCTTCGCGGTGTATGGAGTTACGGCGAGCATGAAATCATGACTTCTTAGTTCTTGAAGCGCTGATTTGAACCCACGACAGATAAACTGTCGATAATGGAGAAGCCCAGTTTACAAGAATTCGGTCCTTGCTGGACTGTTATTGATTGGCCTTGAAAGGAGTAGGAGTAGTTCCTCCATGCCTTCCCAACTCCTCCTCACCTGATGTGTGTGACGTTACGCCATACTTCTCAACATCCGTACTTATGAGCTTCATCTATCCCTCAATAGGTAATCAGCCTTCCTAAGGTACCGGATATAAACCATAGCATCGTCTCCTAAACTAGACCCATCAATCCTCAAGGCATTCTTATCCCTTGACGCCGCAACAACAACAATGGCTTCCTGTGGCGGCTTCTCTTCAACTTTGAAACCAAGCAGCAAGACACAGTCAGGTGAAGACCAATTCTACCTTTGTCAAGACCGGCGAGAACGCCAGCAAACCCATGTTTCGCAGGTACGTAGGTATCCATCTCGTTTTGATTCAACCCGCGCTCCCACACGTCTGACTGCACCCGTAATCATGGGGGTGGGAGCAAAAGAATTGCCGCTTGTTTTGTTTCTTTTGTTGACTTTCTCCCCTACCTACGAACCTAGCTAGGCGAGCATTTCTCCCTGAATGGCCCATCCAAGCCAGACTTACTTCTTCGCCTCAGCAAGACTACGATTCCATACCTCCTAGAAGGTAAGATGGGGGGTAGGTATCATCACTTGAATCACAATGCTATGTTCGGAGAGTACTAAAATGGCGTGCAGTGAGTATTATGCGGTGTTTGATTGGGAAGCAAGTACCTATGGCTAAGGTTAAGGGACTTATCCGACGTTGTGTTGCAAATGTGCCGAGAGCGTAGACGTAGAGCCAATTAATTTTTTTTTTCCTTTTTCACGGTTCTCATAGCCCAGCTGTGTGTAGAGATGAGAAGGTACGTACTGTGACATGTCATGCAGATATACAAATGAATTGTTCGTTGGAGAAGTAGATATGAGCACCAGAACGGCAAGTTTTTTTTTTTCAACAGAATACAGAGAGAACTTGGTTATCTTTATCCTTTCAGATATTGCCTCTTCTCTCGAGATGCGAGGTGTGAAACATGTAAGGATGTATTTATGGAGTCATATTTCCTTTGATGTTATGCCATACTCGATAGACCGTATCACGCGATAAGCTCTCTTGAACACTATCCGATTGCATCGTCCGAAGAAAAAAAAAAAGAAGAAAAAAGGACAAAGTTAGAAGAGAGACACATCAGTATCTACCGGGAACTTGGACCCAAGGGTTTTTATCATGGTGCGGCAGTGAACCAGTCCTAGGCCAGCAAGAGTAATCATTGGGTAGCTTAATATACCCGACCGAATACCGAAGTCAAACACGCCTGTATCTCGTACAGTACAATCTAACGAACCCTGATCCAGCCTCGGGACTATGTCAGAGCATCAATCGTCTCGCCGTCTGCAATTTTCCTTCTTCGCACCTCGGTCTCATCAATATCGATCCTCGTCTTCCCGTTCGCCCCGGTACTTTTCGTAGCAATGGCCTTCTCCTTTTGCTTGATCTCTTTTGGTGGCTGGAATCGCTTACGAACCGTCTCAACCATCTTCCCAAACCAGTAGAAGTTCAAGGTGTTGAGCACGAGGTTACTTCCTAAGTATGTAAAGGCCAGCCACATTGGAACATACTCGTCACCCGCGAAGCGCATGATATCATCGTGAATAGGAGCAGCGCTCTTGCCAGTAGCCGCGGCAGTGCCGTTAATAGCGTCCATGTCAATGCCTGTGGTAGCTGGCTGGTGGTGAATTGCTTGCCAGACGTCTTGGTATACCCGAACTGACTGATAGGTTCCCCACACGAGCCGGCAACTGAAGAACGTAAAGAGGAGCATGATGCCGTTGTACAGCTGGGCTTTTGAGCCGGTCATATCGAGTTTATCGAAGAACCAGTGGAAGTTCAGGAATGGAGAGGAGAGCTCGTAGAGGATGAAAGTACATCCGTAGAAATTCACAAATGGTCTCTGGTAACGCTGTCAGCTCCGAGCCCATGAATGCCTGTGGAACTTACGAATCCAAAGGAGAAAACTATGAGGGCGCTCAATGCATGGGCAAGCATGCCGAATCCAAACACTCTGACATGTTGGAGAGTAACCATCAAATCCCAGAGGAAGTATCCAGCTGCCATGCCCTGGATCATCCCCGCAGCACCAGTGTACCCCCAGATGCGCTGCTGCCAGTCCATGGCTTTACGCTCCTCGTCGTTGAACATCACCCATAACGCCAGGGTGTTGATAGTGGTACTCTGAACCAAAGAAACCACATGAACGTCCCAATTCATCTTGCGCTCCGGGGACAGCTTTGCATACTTAACCGGAAATATGCGCATAGAAAGCTTGGGCGCAACGACATTATTGATCAGCGTATATGCTACAAACGATATGATGACCTCGTGGATATGCAGAGGTAGAGTCGGGAGGTGAAGATAGTCGGCGATGGGCTGTATGGCTTTACTGAGCCACGGCAAAGGGGGGAGAGGAAAGGGATCGTGCATGGTCGCGGAGAAGAGAGCTCGAGGGTCGAGAGGAGGCTTAAGAGTGGAGGGCGGAAGGAGATGAATGGGAGGATGAGAAATGAAGTTGGAGAGAAGATGATCTTAGAATAGGTACCGGTAGGTAGGTAGGCAGATGAACCATCTATTCCGAAGAGTGATAGAGTTTTGATTGATACACGGGTTTCTGGTCGAGGTTTGGTAAACTCGAGAAGAGGTCGAAACAGGCTGAAGGGATGCTTAAAGTAAGACACTGACTGATACTCCACGCCAGAGAGCGGTAGGGGTAGGCAGGCTAGCCTATTACAGTCAAGGGGGAGCTGGGCGAAAGCGAGGGATCATGACCACAACCATGATACAGACAGAGAATATATAGAGATCAGGAAGTTGGGAGTTAGGAGTTAGTTGGGTATGCACAACGGACCTCGATTTTCGTACTTCTCACTACACTACACTACAACAGAACTCCGCAAAGGCACAGAGAGTCGGCAATATAATCATAATCTCATTATCTATGTATAGTATATCTATGTATCCGTGCGTACAGGTATATGGTTGTTTCGTCAAAGGACACCGCAATAGGCCAGGCAACTGGCCATGGCCATGGCAATCGCAAACGCTCGCTCAGCCTTAGCCAGCTCTCGATGCATCAAGTGATAAGATAAGCGACTCCCCATAGCCTCGTAAGGCACAGCTGCCGATCCCGGCGGACTCTCTACTTGTGTTGCTGACGACCTTCCCTTTGTAAATCGTTGTTCGGTCTCGGCTCGGATCGCAAACCACATCCTGAATCGTCTTCCTCGTTCTGAACGGCCGGCTGGGATTCTCGTTGCCGAAGATGATGAAGTGTGCTTCGTCTCCAACGTCAATATCAATCTCGTTGGCGATCGTCAGACGGATTCCTATGGCCGTCTTGGCCCGATGGGAGACGCATTGCTAGGAAAGATTAGCTGCGTTTGAATTGGTCGTTGTCTGGTTCACTTGCAAGCATCAAAGCAAGTTCCTTCTTCGTAGAAGCCTGATAAACTCCGACACCAAAACTCGCCAGGCTAAGTGGATCACAGCTGCCGTGAGGCGTGAATGCGTTTCCGACGTTATTGATTCCTATTGCTGCATCTGTTCTCGAAATCAGTATACATATATATGAAACAAGTGTCTTGATTCGGTCTCCTGAAATCGGCCCACTTAAACTTTCAGGAAGGTGCTTGAGATGCTCGGGAAATATGTCGCCGCGACGAAAGGACAGATACTTACTCATGGCATATCTCTGGATGATATCGAGGACCTGCAAGGTGCCACGAACTCTCTGGGTAGTTTGTTCCACGTCCTCTTTTCCTGGTCGGCCCATCATAAAGAGATCTGAATTAGGCAGTCCAATGAAAGAGACCGGCAATCCTAGTATCTTGCGACGTAGTTCCAGCCATTCATGTTGGCTGAACAGGGTAAGACGAGAGCAGTGGCTAAAAATAATCGAGCGGTACAAGTGTTCGTTGCAATCCGTGGGCCACTGTAGGACACAGAGGAGTCAGTTACCATACGTACAAGAACATTATAGAGGGGAAAATCTATATTCCCAGTTGTCCGACTCAATCAGGGAAGGATGGGAAAGAGGGGGCTCCCAAATGCCAACCTTCATCTTATGCAAGAGCTCTATGGTCTCCCCAACCATACTGGGCTGGTTTGGATCCAGGTTATAGTCGATATGGAAGTCGAGGTGAAGTTTACAACGCATGGCTGTCTTAATAGCAAATTCTATGTTGGCCAGCTGGAGACATTAACCGCCAGGAGTAACGAGAAAGAGCGGATCACGTTCAGCATACCTGCTTAATGCGATCCCCATCCTTCTCAACATACGGTGTACTCCCAAAGCAAGAGACACCGTGTCTGTTGGCAGCAACTTCAAGTAACTCCATCATCGCCTTTCCATTGTCTCCATAACTGACAATTGGGTCCTGAGCACTGCATGACCGGAAGGTCAGTAAAGTTTCATCTTCAGGTATATCAAGAGTAGAATGGGACTAAATTACTACTCGTGAGACACCCGTGAATAAAGAAATGGCTACTGTCATATCGGCTTACAAGACGCAAATCTGCATATATATACGATCCTGGAACTTCTCCTTGAGTGCCAGACCGGCATCGAGACATTTCATTTGAACCACAAGATCAACTTCAACGAATGCCCTCCTGAGAAAACGGGGAAGTTAGTACTGGTTCATCGAAAATTGCTTCAGGAAAAGGGACAATACATGCTCTCAGAGGATCTTGAGATATTGTCGTGGGCTTGTTCAACACCTACATATGGGTGACTCCCAGTTCGATACTCTCTTCGATCAAAGCTTGGCCTCTTTCGATCAAGTCATCTACCTCGTATCTGCGCTTTGCCTCGCCTATGCTGACAATGAGACATGGCCCACCGGCTTCACGGGAGAGTGATAACTGGCCTACTTGTCAACTTCATTGCTTCGGCAAAGTCACCGTCCTTGATCTCCAGATCCGAGTACTTTGGATGGGAGAGCAGGAAGCACTTGTCAAGGTGTATATGCGGATGGCACAGAGAAGGACACAAGAACTTGGTGCCACGATGATGGTCTCCATCATGATGCTTTTCGGTGATGTGCTCTTGATCTGGCACCTTGTGCTCGTCCAGAGCGCTGATGTGACCGTTCTTAAAAGCGACATCCCAAAGAGTGTTGTCGGGCTTGTTTGCAACATAAACGCCTTTATAAACTAAGTCGGGAGGGCCGTCTATATCTATGGACGCTGTGGATGGTGCACTAGGATGAGTACTGGTGGAGAACACCATGTTATTGGCACCGTGGAGAGAGAATATTAGGAAGGGAAGTAGTGGGAATGAAGAGGGAATGAAGAGGGAATGAAGAGGGAATGAAGATGGAGTAGAGAGTGAATAAAGGGAGGAGTCACGGGACTGGAAGCTGATGACTACGGAGTATGGCGATCTGGGGAAAAAGAAAAGAAGGTGGAAGTCCCGGATGACGCCATGAGGAAGTAAGAAAATAAGAATGCGGGGCGACTCGCTTGTTCCCGCAGTCCAAGCTCCCAAGCCAGAAACTTGCTTACTACCGGTAGTACTTACAGTACTGTAGACACCTGTCCCTGTCTAGGTAATATTTTAATCACATCACATCCTAACACCACAATTTTCAAGCTTTCCAAACTTCCAAACTTCTAAACTTCCAAACCTCCAAACCGCCAAACCGCCAAACCGCACACGGGCAAGCTGTTGCCCTTGCCACCATGGCAGATCCGTTGTACGAGCTTCTGATCCCATACTTCGATGCGCCCTCATCCCGACCAGCACCGTCCTCGAAGGATCCAACTACCAATGCCTACCTAACCCGTCTGACAACCCTCCCTCTCTCGTCTCTCACAAGCAGCGAGCCGCAATCCCTCTCTCAAACCACGCATTCCCTTTCCCTCTCCCTCCAAGCTCTTTCGAAACGCTCGCATCAGTCTATAATCGACTCGTCTACCCATCTCTCGACGCTGAGCACTACGCTTCCGACCCTCGCTGCATCAACCGCCTCCCTCCGCGATGCCCTCCCCAAGCTCGACGATGCTGCCATTCACTTCAGCGAAACCTACAACACGCGCTCCGATAATGCGCTCCTCGATCGACGGCGCAAAGCTCTCCTGCTGTCCCGCAATATTGACCGCCTCTCCGACATTCTCGACCTGCCGACGCTTCTCTCCTCCGCCATATCAACATCCAATGCCTCCACGGCTTCCATATCTGCCACAAACGCTACCCTTAATTATGCCTCTGCCCTAGACTTGAACTCGCATATAAGGCGGCTCCACGGCTTATATCCCGACTCGACATTGATTTCTAGCGTAGAAAAGCAGGCGGAGGAAGCCATGCAAGATATGGCTACAAATCTCATCGCAAGCTTGAGAACTAATTCCCTGAAACTCGCCAATGCTATGCGCACAATATCTTGGCTACGGCGTGTGGCGCCTGAATTGGACCCCTCGACAACCTCTACGCCATCTCTGCATCACGGAGTAGGAGCCAGCCGTGAAGGTAGCCTCGGATCTCTGTTTCTCGTCTGTCGTTTAGCCAACCTTCATCAGATGCTCTCGGCGCTGGAACCACTACGTGAACTAGCAGACCAAGAAACCCTACGATTACAGGAATCTGAAGCTGGATCCGGGCCAGATGTAAAAAGCAAGAGTAAATGGGAAGGCGGGCAGCAAACCGAACGCTACTTGAAACGCTACATAGAAATCTTTCGTGAACAGAGCTTTGCCATTATCTCCATGTACCGCAGCATCTTCCCAGCCGGAAACTCTGCCCATGAAGATAGCATACTCAAAGGCTTGGGACGGGAGGGTCATGTGAAAGAGGACCCGTTATTGCCGCTGCCGAGCTCACTAGGGACGTTCCCGTTGCAGCTGGTGGGAATGTTGGAGCAGACGTTGAGGAGATATTTGGGCAATGTGAGGGATCGGAGTAGTAGAGACAGTCTGCTGACCCAGGTTTTGTACTGTGCGGGGAGTTTGGGGAGACTGGGGGGTGATTTTAGTATGCTGCTTGCCTTTTTTGGGGAGCAGGAGGATAGCGAGGCCCAAGATGAGGAGTGGGTGGAGATAATCCGGAAACATCGTGTGTTGGCTGGGAGGTTGGAACTGATGGTTGGTGCGAAGGACGGATAGAGAAGGAAGATGTTTGGGCGAGAATTGACTTCCTGAAGATGAAAAGCTATCTACTTGTCAGAAGAAGCCAAAATCTGACCCGTAGCATCTCCCATGCTTCAAGTCAAATGCCCCAGGCCATCATCTACTTGAAAGCTTTTTATACCTGTACAGGGCAGAAGTCACAAAGCCTGGCAATGTCCAAACACAATCAACAAACATACATGCGTGTGAGTATGGGTGTGAGTGAACCCTCTAAGCACCACCCCGATCCTGTGCCAAAGCCTCGGATGAACTGGCTAAACCAAGTAACTGACCGTCAGGAGCAGCACAGAAAAGAGTATTTACTTCTCTATTTCCCTCCGTACTTCTAGATACCTACAACTACCAATCAGCGCCTCGCTAAATCAAAGGGTCAGCAACCCACATTCCCCCAGGTCCCTTGCCACTGACATGTCTATATTTTGTGTCTCCATGGCTTCCTTTCTTTTCTCCTTCTACTTTGCCTGCATACACATTTCTGCGTTTTGTGTCTCTAATCTCTGTTTTGCTCTTCCGTATGTATGTACTCTACTTACGGATACTTAATCAATTACATTTGATGTGATTGGTTGCCTCTGGTCGTTGCTGTTTTTGTTATACTTCGCGTCGTCTGCTCTGTTGTAGCTTGGGGCGTGAGAGTGAGTGGTGGCTTATTGCGTGCTGTTTTTTGGTCTCTTATACCGTCTCAGGTCTCGACAGAAATTCCTGCCCACTGTGTTTATTGTTTGCAATTCGTCAATTCACACGTCGAGAAGTACGTATTCAGGTGCCAGCCAGCTTCCGACCCCCCGCGCTCGAAGGAGCTACATTTCTGCATCTTGCCCCGGAGCTCCAAAGCAAATGAAAGCAAGCATATACCCGTCCCCCGCACCGCCAGGTCTTCTGCGAATCCTAGATAAAAAGTGTTCACTCTTCCGAGACAGTCCTAGCTGGCATAGCGTAAACACCCTCTCGTATCCCCTTCTCGCTCGAATCTCGCTCCGAGACACTGCTTGGACTGGGATTTCCATGGTCTGATTTCTCATTAGGTGCTCTCGCCTTGACGACGAATGGGGGGCGTTTCGTGAATGCGGCGTTCTTCATCAACGGGAGGTGGCCTTTGGCCTCGTTGTATCTCATCAAGACGAAGCCGATGATGACGGCGATCCAGTAGCAATTGTACGAGATGACGGATCCGTACGTGGCCGAGTTCTGCCACCCGAGCACTGCATTGAAGATACCCCATCCACCACCACCGTTCAATTCTGGATTACCGTACTGTACCGGGTCAGTCATTTACATGCTACGATGGGCTCATTCATCGGGTACTTACGTTGACATGCCAGACACTCTGATCAATGTCGTAGGACCCAGGTCCAGCGCCGACTTCTGCTGCATCGCCCCCAACTGCGTTATTCCAGTCTTGAGCTTGGAAGAACCAGACGGCTTTTGAGAAGAGACCGGCGGCAACGAGATAGAGGAAGCAGGTGGAGACGACGAGGAAAATTTGGATCTTGGAAGTGGCACCGGCCCTTGACCACTGTCAGCGATGAAGTGAGCGGGGACCGAGTATCGATGCTCACTTGTATATGACGAATCCGACAACCACTCCAGCAAGAAGTCCGACAATAACAGGAAGAGGCACGGCGGTCGCAGGGGCCGAGAACGAGACGCCAGCAATGAAGATGACTGCCTCCAGACCTTCACGGAGAACGGTGATGAATGGCAACCAGAACATGGCATACTTTCCAAGAGACCGCCTGAACCAGCCCGGTTTAAATCGCTCCTGCATACGTTCCTTCAAGCTCAGGGCCTTACGAGAGGTCTGGTCTTTTCCCATGGCTTCGGCAATCTTGACTTGCCACTTCTCTTGCATCTTGGAGATGCGGAGAAGAGCAGCCCCCATCAATGTGATGATCACCGATGCAATGATACCGAAGGTGCCTTCCCAATAGTACTCGGCATTGGCGAATTTGTTGCGGCCTACACCATAGAAGACTCCAATCAGAACACCGCCGATGACCAGAGTGATAAAGAAGCCACCAAAGGTTCCCATCCAGACCTGGGATATGTCAACATCCATCCCGCCGAAATGTGAGAACCCCAAGGATCTTTCCCCAGGAACCGGGGAGTCTTGCCTGTTTGCGGAGCGCTTTGTACATGGTAGCATCTTGATTCGGGCCATCAAGGGTTAGCTTGATGAAAGCGAGCAGGACCGAGACGATGATCGCGACCTCGATCGTCTCTCGGAAGACGATGAAGAACACAGGAACGGCGAAAACGTTCACCGTCATGACTGCAGCAGCGTTGGCGTGAATGTGAATCTGCTTGACAGCGAAGATGCAAGAAAGATTTTGGATTTTGGGCGAGGGAGACGTCGATATCGGGACTCGAGGACGAGGGGTCCAAGCCAGATATGGTGGTAGTGTGCTGGGACGATCAGATTATGCGACGCGGGATCAACGCGATCAGGTCGGTCCGATCCCCAGGTGTGAGAGTACCCTTTGAGCATCGTACGAGACTAGCTGGCCAGCCCTACGGCACTGCAGAAGGCTGACTCTGTCCGATGATCCAAAAAGCTTCCAAAAGGTTTTTTTTTTCCCTGGCAAGATTTTCCGGCGGTTTCAGCGCCCGAGGCTTGCAGATGCGGGATTTGATTTTTGGCCACAAGCGAGCGAGCGCCCAAGTTGGAGAGGGTGGTGAGAACTCAGCTGGCGATGGCGATGACGCTGGCGTCGGCGTCGGCGTCGGCGTTGTTGACTTTCGAAAACAATGCAGCCGTGCATGCGTTGAAGAAAGATTGTTTATCTTTGAACTTTAAATTTGATTTTCCATGATTCATTGAATTGCTACGTAGTACTTACTCCTCCGTACTACTCCGTATATACCAGTACAAGAGTATTATCAAAACCCTATTCCGTATCTTTTCCAGCGCTCCCCTCGTGCGGGATTGCTTGATTAAGAAAAGCGTTACTAAGAATCCTTGCGAAGCGAACTAAACAAGGGATCCATCATACTTTACCGCGAGACTTTACTTACTTTGGTATCTAATCTGATCCGATCTGATCCGCTCCGATCCGCTCCGCTCCGAATTTGTAGACACCGGATTGGCAGGCGCTGGAAATGTGACGTCGAGCTACCTCCGCGGTTCGGCTCTTTAGTCTTTCCTCCCGAAAAGAATAGCAAATGGCCGGAATGCCCACCGCGGATTTAGAGTTTCAACTTGTTCGTATGGAAGCACAGCGGTAAAGTATAGATTTTATTGATCCCTTGTCTAGTTCGCTTGCAGAGGTCTTCAGTCAACGCTTTTCTTTGATCAAGCAATCCCGTAAGAAGGGGAGCGCGCTGCAAAAAGATACGTAATACGCAGAGGTTATAAAAGGCTTTTAATAGCCGTTTCATGAATCATAGAAGTGATGTTAAAGTTTGAAAAGTCTTTCGATCTGATACGAGATCAACGCAGTTAGTTGTACTGTAGTACCGGTACGAAGGTATAGCGATGAAGTGTTGTCCCGGGTCAAAAGCAGAGGGGAAATACGTAGAAGCTGGCTTGCCTGCAAGTTCTTCAGAATAACGTCATTGCTTGACTGGGCGAAGCTTAGCTGAACCTTTGTCTGACTAAGAACAACAACACTTTACAATACCGTTGTATGTAGTATTTTCGGACGACTCTTTTACGAACTCTTGTCGACGCTGAAGGTACCTTGATTTGCAGAATACTGATTTTTCCTTTTGCACGCTTCCTTCTTTAATATACAGAATATGACTTTATTAGGTCAAGTTCGGGCTCTACACCCCTTTCGCTTTTGATCAGATAGTACTTTACCGCTAGACCTTTTGTACCTATCTTATCTGATCTGATCTGATCCGATCTGATCCGATCCGCTGCGCTCCGATCGATGGAGATACCGAACTGGCAAGTGCAAGTGCTAAAATAGAACCGGACGATCTAGAGCTTCGAGGCGTTTTGGCTTTAATTGAATGGTGGCGTCGAGCGAGTTCGGCTCTTTAGTGTTTCCCACGAATCAAACAGCAAGCAGCTAAAGAAGCCCGACCGTGAATTTGGAATATACACGTTTCGTACTTCGTAAAAGGCTACGATCTGATTCGATAAGGAAGGGCGGTACGCGAGTGATCGCATCTGATAAGGGAAATTGACTTTCCAGTCCAGTCCAGTCCAGCTGAGTATCACGAGTCCAACACCATGCCTTTCATAAGCATTTGGCCCGAGATTCTATGCATCCATTTTTTAGCATCATGTTACTTACAAAAACTACTTATTGCATTGGCTAATCCAGACTTCTACGACTCGACTCGACTCAATTGCATGCAAGACTAACATCGATACCCGACTACTAGTCAACACCGCCAGAAAGAAAGACAATTCCCGAGAATCGCCATCGCTATCGTGCTCTCGCACGCCGACGCCCAAGCTACCTATCGTCGCGATTAGGCTTGACAAGGACAAGCACCTGGCCTGCTCACACAATCAGATCATTTCTCCAAAGCACAGGGTCTGCTGGTGACTGTGCTTCAAACCCATCTACTGCCCCCAGGCCACCAAGCAGTCTTGTCGTCCTTTCAATATCTCGACAGCTGTGAGCCGGTGAGGGTCTTCTAGAGATCATAGAAGAAGAAGCGGCGTTCCTCGTGCTCTCTCAAACTCACTCACGACACGTACCCAAGAACTGTCGCGACAGCTTGCTTCTTCTTTCCAAATGGCGCGCTCGTGGTCATGGCTCCCTGTGATATCGGTCCTCCTTCTTGCGTGGAATGTACGCGCAGCAACGGTTACATATGATTTCAACATCACCTGGGTCATCGCTAATCCTGATGGCGTTTTCCCGAGAGCTACTATTGGCATCAACAACCAATGGCCTATTCCCGTTATCACAGCCACCAAGGGTGACCAGATCATTGTCAACGTGAACAACCAGCTCGGAAACCAGAGCACATCTCTGCATTTCCATGGCCTTTTCCAGAACGGCACTGCGGCAATGGATGGTCCTTCTTACGTCACTCAATGTCCGATTCAACCAGGAAGTTCGTTCACGTACAATTTCACTGTAAGCATCTCTGAAGTATCTAGATTCACCACAACTAATGTAGCAACAGGCACAACAGTCTGGGACCTATTGGTATCATTCCCATACCCGTGGTCAGGTCCGTAGATCTTCTCCTTTTCTCTCTCTCGACATGTTGGGATTGGGAAAATGTCTCAGGATCAGTGAATGATCCTTAGGTTCCTGGCATTTTGCTAAATTGGCTCTAACTTGCCGATTCAGTATCCAGATGGTCTCCGAGGCGCGCTGATCATCCACGACCCCGAATTTCCATATCAGGATCGGGTTGATGAGGAAATCGTTCTTTCCGTCTCAGACTGGTATCATGAGCAGATGGCAACTCTGACTCCAAAGTTCCTCAACAAGGCCAACCCAACTGGTGCAGAGCCAGTTCCACAAAACGCTCTCCTGAACGATACCACGAACCTCAGGGTCTCAGTCCAACCTGGGAAGACCTACCTATTCCATGTGGTCAACATCGGTGCTTTTGCAGGCCAGTATCTTTGGTTCGAAGGCCACAATGTGACCATTGTCGAGGTTGACGGTGTCTTCACGGACCCTGTGGAGACCTCGATGATATACATTTCCGCTGCTCAGCGCTACAGCTTCTTGCTCACCACGAAGAACGAGACAGGATCCAACTTTGCTTTCGTTGGCAGTATGGATACCGTAAGAAAGCCACATCATTTAGATGCTGTCTGCTAAATTCCAATAGGATCTCTTCGATCAACTCCCCGACGACTTAAATTGGAACTCAACCGGCTGGCTTGTTTATGACGATACTAAGCCTATGCCCACCCCGGCGGTAGTTGATGCACCCTTTGATTTCTACGATGATTTTGCACTGGTCCCATTTGACAAGAAGCCCCTTCTACCTGATGCGGACCAGACCATCACTCTCGATGTGATTATGGATAACCTCGGTGACGGCAGACCATAGTAGGTACACTCTACATGCAAGGGAACTTTTGCTAACATAACTAAGCGCCTTCTTTAATAATATTACCTGGGTCAGGCCTAAAGTACCGACACTCTATACAGTAATGAGCACCGGCGAGTCCGCCGCAGATCCACAGGTCTACGGGGAGTTTTCTCACTCGTTTGTTCTCAACAGACACCAGATTATAGATATAGTAGTCAACAACCTAGGTACGGACTCCCTGCGCTACCTATCTAGTCTGGGTGTTGTTAACGAACGTTCTGCAGATTCCGGAAAACACCCTTTCCATTTACATGGTCACAACTTTCAAGCCATCGCCCGTTCCGAGGATGAAGCAGGTTCTTTCGACCCGACAAATGCTACACAGACCAAGTTTCCCGCTATCCCAATGCGTAGAGATACGTTCGTCCTGAGACCAGAAGGTCACATTGTCCTACGATTCGAGGCCGATAACCCAGGCGTTTGGTTATTTCACTGTCACATAGAGTGGCATGTATGTCCTCCTTAAACAGTCACCTCTGTGGAAATAGTGCTAATCAACATCTGTAGGTTGACCAAGGTTTGATTGCAACCATGATTGAAGCTCCATTGGATATTCAGAAATCCCAGACGATCCCGCAAGACCATTTCGATGCGTGTGCTGTCGGCAAGATCCCAACTGTGGGTAACGCTGCTGGCAACACTGAGGACTTCTTTAATCTGAAGGGTGCAAATACCGCACCAAAGCCGCTACCCGACGGCTTTACAGCTCGTGGTATTGTGGCTCTGGCATTCAGCGTTCTTGCCGGTGTTATTGGATGTGCTGTTATTGCCTGGTATGTCATTCTACAAAACTCAAGTCCAAATGTAGCTAATCAGGTCTTCCAGGTACGGATTGGCAGACATGGGGGCAGCGAGCATGGCTGCTGAAGAGCGCCGTGTTGCAGCTATGGGGGCTATGGGGTCCATTAAGAGTATATCTGATGTATCTGATCAGGCTGCGATGAAGTGATTATACGCGAGCAATGCCTTGGATTTGACTGAGGCTACTGGGTTCTGGCCCGAGCAATTTCATTTGACGAGAAAACGATACCAGTAAAATGATCGATTACCTTTTATGCCCGTCGGAGAGTATTGTGCTCTTCTGACTTGGTGCTTTGTATATACTTACGAATAAATAAAAAATACCATAATAGATATAGTCAAATAATTTACATGTCTGGCTCCGGGATCAAGATCCTCTGGTTGTTTTAACTATAGAACGGTACAAAGCATCCAATTAGTTTATGAGATAAAAATAAGCAGAATACTAAAGCAGTTTTCAAAATAAAATATGAAAAGATGAGTTTAGAGAATATTGTTAATTTGTTTTGTATATCTACCTATTTGGTTGGGGTTGTGTTCTGCCGATATAGAGCCGAAATACGAGCCACGCAGAGGTTTACACTGCTGAATACTCACTGATGCTTCACAGTGCTCCACAACTGATACGATCTAGGTTTCTCACTGCCCTGTATGTTTCGCTGAAGCCTAAAATAGCCATTAGTCTACAATTCAACTTCAAGACGCGCCAAAGGCCTATGTTAAGCCTGTCCTTTCCGATTCTTTGCATCCGAAGTTTCTTGTATCCCAAGTGGATACGTTTCACCAGATGGCACGCGCCTCCTATTTGTTCGGCATACAGGTTGGCAGCGTGCCATTGAATCTGAAGTGAAAGATTGTGCTTTCTCAGGCCCCATACTTTTGAAGATGGCTGGAATCAAAGGCCGACGTCAAGCATGGTCTCTGGGAGATACATATGGTAAAGATTCTTCCCACTTTCAACAATCCTTACTCTACTAACTGGCCCGCGCAGACTTCATCGCTACCTTTCTCTACAAGCCGGGTATTCGAACCACCATCCACTCTACCAGACGCCCATACCGGACCTCAGCGGCTCACAGAAGTACAAATAGACTGGATGGGCGGATCGCACCACTATCCCCAGCCGGGAACGGCTCAAGATGCCAGGAGAATGCCGGGGAGAGACGCCATTTCCACGACTACTTCGTCACGAACCTGCCTTCCTCCTCACTCCACCCCGATTCTCGATCTGCCGCAGGCCCATACCACAAGCTGCCCCGATCGGCTTCTACGCCGCACACGCCCGGCTCCGGCCCGTCTCCTGCGGCCATGGTCGGCGTGTCCCGCGAGATGACCGTCGTGCGGATCCCTCTGCGGAGCGCGAAGCACCATTTCGGGGTCGCGGTCTCGCGCGGTACGCGGCCGTACAACGAGGATACGTACCAGGCCGGCACGCTGGAGATCCCGGCTTTTGCAAGGAGGGCGCCGATCAGTCTAAGCCGCGCGGGTACGATGGCTAGCGCAACCTCGGCGGACAGTGCTAGTGGCGATCCGCAGGTGTTCTACTTTGGGGTGTTTGATGGGCATGGTGGTAATGAGTGTAGCGATTTCTTGAGGGAGGAGCTGCATGATTACCTGGAGAGGACTGCGGTTACGTTTGGCTTGGCATCGAGTCTCAAGATGGGGAGAGAGCGGGAGAGTGATGTGAAGGGGTCTAGCCAGCAGTATGAGGGGGGTAGCAAAACGGCGGAACAGGGAAAGGAGAGTGAGCAGGATGTTGTGGGAGAGGCTAATATGCCGACGAGAGGTCATGATGGGAGGATCAAGCAGCCGGAGCACCGCCCTGCTATTGAGAGTCAGAAGCCGGTGCAAGCTGGGTCGAACAAGGGTAACAAGGCTGCGGAGTTAGAACGGAGCCTGGTTGCGCAGTGGAAAAATACCGTTGGTGGGTATTTCAGACGGTTCAGACCCGAGTACTTCAACTTGCCAACTTCAGACCGAGAAAACCCTCCCGGGGTTGAGAGTCCAGTCTCCATCGAAACAGTCCTTATGTACGCCTTCCTCAAAGCCGACCTGGACTTCGTCACCGCACAGGCGCAGAAACCAGACCCGGAAAACCACAACAGCGACAAGCCTCTGAATGCAGACGACATCCTCGGCGAGCCGGCGTACATCGGCCCCTCCAAACACCGCATCGGGGGTCCCACGCGCTTCGTCGGCGGCTCGACAGCCTCCATCGTCCTGATCTCCACCCCGGCCCCAACACCATTCTGGCACCCCGCCTCTCCGTCCTCCCTCGTCGTCGCTCATGTAGGCGACACGCGCGTCTTGCTCTGCAACACCGCGACTGGCCTTGCAGTCCCCGTCACCACGAACCACCACCCCAGCTCCTCAATCGAGGGGGCTCGGCTCCGGCGCTACGCGGCGACGTTCGTCACCGACTCGTTTGGCGAGGAACGCATGTCCGGCCTCGCCAACACGCGTGCCTTCGGCGACATGCGCAGCAAGCGCATCGGCGTGTCCGCCGAGCCGGAGATCCGCCGCGTCGATCTGGCGCCCGCTGAATACTCCTTCCTGGTCCTCGTCTCCGACGGCGTCAGCGGCACGCTGAGTGACCAGGAGATCGTCGACGTCGTCAAGGAGGCGAAGACACCTGAGCAAGGTGCGCGAGACGTGGTCAGTTTCGCTACCGAGGTGAGCAGCGAGGGCGACAACGCTACATGCTTGGTTGTCCGGCTTGGAGGGTGGGAGAGGAGGATTGAGGGCGGGACGGGGAGCATGGGGACCAAGGAGATGAGGGACTTCCGGAAGGGGGAAGCGTTGGATCCGAGGAGGGGGAGGACTTGATGGAGGTTTGGCGGCGAAGCGAGGTATGTGTTTAGGTGTGGGTGTGAGTGGATGAAACGAGAAGGGGGGAGTAGGGGAAGGCATTCATTCGGAGTCGGGAGCTCTGCATAGTATTCTACGCAAATGGGATTTGTCTATTTATTAATAACCGAAATTTAAAGATGAGACCCGCTGGGCTCTTCGCTTAGCCCCTTTTCTTCCTTGGCCGTCGAAATGAGCGCGTTTGAAGCACATCCCGGGCACACTGACATTCATAGGTACTAGGCTCATTCGAAGGCTATATCAGCAAGCTCCGAGCAGAACCACGGTGGGTCAAAACAAAGAGGTAGCAAGAGTCCCCTCACCTATGTGTCAAACAGCAGTCCCCTCGTCTATCTATGTACGTATTTGACGAGTACCAGGCTTAGCTAGGTGAGGGGGGGGGGGTAAGGTAAAGTATAGAAAGCTCTGAGCGGATACTCGATATATTTAATATCCCC